TATTAAAATATCAGGGATTAAATCATAATATATCAAAGTTAATGGCCTTAATTCGAATCATCATAAAAATCTAAGTACTAATAATGTAATTTAGCATTAATTAATTAATCGGGATTAAAATAAAAATTAATAAAATATAAGGGACAAAATATGCTATTTACCCTAAATATTTAAACATATATAGGTAGTGACTAAATTATAAATTAAATAAAATTCGAAGACCAAATTAAAATAATCAGAAATATAATTTTAGTGTAACACCCCCAACCCGTACCCAACCCGGATACGAGTATGAGGTGTCACATTGACTTCTCAAAACATTTACTTTTACAAAATACTCAAGATTCAGTTTGATATTTCTAATAAAACCATTTATTTTCTATGATATATAAAACATATGCTTTTACAAAACTGATCAGAGCGTATATAATACAAATCTTTTAACTACATGCCAACTAGATTCTATATATAACAAAATACATGTTACTCATTTAGGTTCTGATCTGACCTTCGGTAAGGAGAAACTAACTTGTCTTGCTCCTCTTAGCTTCTCTTCCTGCTTTCCTGAACCTACGTGTGAAACACTCACACGCTAAGTCATAGACTTAGTGAGATATATAAATACATATGTAAATTATCAAATGCATGTACATATCATGTAATACAACGTCATACTGGTATACATACTTTTTCATGTAACAATTACATACACACACGCATGTCACCATTTATATTTTCTCATACTCTTATATGATTATCCTTTCTATCTCTTATCTCTTGTTCATATGATCTCTTATTTTCATATTCTATATCTTATAACATGTTCTTACATCATCATATGAGTCATTGATATTCATTCATATATATACATTAACATATATTCATATACATTCCATAACAAATCCCATAACCCATAACACACATTATTTCCTGTAACATATACACAGATTCACATATATCATCATATAAAACATGTAACACATTTCTCATTACAACTCACATTTTATCGTTATCTTTTTGGTTAGCCCCATGTACACTACTAAGAACTTAAGATATGTGAGTACATAGAGGTTGTACACTATGTTGTCACCACAGCTCGTATAATTCCCACTAGGGGCGTGTAGAATTTGTCCCGTAGGACCACTATGACCCGTAGGACCACGTAGAACTCTCGACTCTTGGCATGCCAACTATACCTATAGCTCTCATAACACATTACATGGGCGTTACCTTTTATATCTTTTCACATATTCACGTAGACACATAGTTTACTTTCACGTAGCATAGTTCCATGTAATTAACATTCACTTATCACATAGTTTCTCACTTTTACTTGTATTCTTTTTCACATATTTTATAGTCATGATTCTTATCACATAACACATGTTCGCATATACATGCTCTCATACAATCCCTTCATTCAGTTATGACATTTAACCTAGCTTATTACACTATCATGTATTCACATCACTCATTTAGCATACATAACATATCATGTAACATTCTAGTAGAAACACATATAAGTCATATCAGTTTCACATATATATTTCATCTCATGGGATCACATAGCCTATTGTCATACATACATACATACATACATACATTTACATAGGTCACATATAAAGATAAATTTAATCAATTAAACATATGCATTTACTCATAAACAATACATTTAACACCATATCACTACATGTTTATGCTTCAGTTATCACTATATGTTTATGCTTCAGTACCCCTGATCACATAATATTGGAATTAGACTCATCCCAAGTCTTAATTCCCTATACATAACGTACACTTAATATCATGTACTCACCTGGTCTCAATGAACACTCATGAGCTCTTGTTCTTCCTTGTGTATCTTACTCTGCCGACCTATCCGAACTTTACTTTCGATCGATGTCTACACAATCATGTATTGATACTATCAGTATCCAATTGATATACTATAATCTATCATTTCTTAGACTTATTTAAAGATTTATTCCATTTTCATTGAAGTGCATCAGTACACTCTACAGTGTATCGATGCATCCCTTTAAGTGCATCGATGCACTACCCCTGCATCGGTACACAATTTACATTCGATGTTTGTATTTTAATGGGGTGCATCGATGCATTCCTTATACATCGATGCACTAATTGCATTTGATGTTCATTCATTTGAGAGTGCATCAATACACATTGAAGATGCATCGATGCACACTACCCATAAATTACATCTTGAGCACGAAATTCACTCTCTTTTCAGCTCAAATCTTCATCTTTCACCTCCTTTAATATTCCTAACTTTCATACACATACTTGCACTCGTTTCTTCTACTCAATAATTGCTTCTTTAACCTCTATATCCTCTCATTCTTATGAAATCAAGAATCATGCCCAAATTTTAACATGTTACAAATCAAATTCTAACACTTCATACATGTTAATTAGATTGATGACAAGTCAAATTCACTCTTAAACCTCATTAAAGAACCCTCTTTCAAGATTTCACTTATTCCTCTCTTTTCTTTAATTTCCTTTATTCTCTTTATCTTATTGTTTCAAAACAATTTAAGTTCTCCTTAAGCTTAATTATCACCTAATAATAAAAACTCAACCTTAAATTTAACCAGAAACTCAAAAATCAGAAAACTCACCTTTAGCTATTGGTTTTCACGCGTGAAGGAAGAAGAAAGATGAAGAGAACTCTAGAAACCACTTGTTTCCTCTTCTCTTCCACGTGTTTAATATATATATCCATATTTAATTATTTTCCTACAAATGACCCTTTTGCCCTTCAATTCATCTAATAATTACTAACATCTTTCAAGTAATATTTTCAAATAATCATTGAACTATTCCATTCTTCTACTTTCATCACCAAATTCTGAAAATTTACGATTTAGTCACTAACCCATAGTTTAGGATGTTACATTTAGTAACTAAAATGGAATGATTATAAATTAGAAGGATTACGGACGGGGTTTACCCATTCGATATTTACACAGAAGTCCCTCTCCAAAATGACGTAGTTTTGAAGAGGGTATAAATACCCCAAAATTGTCCCAAAATGGCCAAAATTTCTCATTTCTTCATTTTGCTTCTCTCTAAACTCTCTCATCAGGGGAAGAACCGGCCAGCCACCACCAGCCACTATTCCAGCCGCCTCCGGTCACTATTCCGTCCACCAATCACTATTCACGGTGGATAGAAAATATAAAAATTCCCCAAATCGTAGATCTAAACACCCTAAAGCCGAATCCGGCCTCCGTTTCTCTTAAAAACTCATAGAATTTCCTATATCTAAATTTATACCTTCGGTATTTTGGTTTTCCGAGGACGTGAAGAGGCTCTGATGACTGCGGTAAGCTTTCTCTCCTTCCTTTTCCATTCGGGTTTTTTTTACTGCTGGTGGATTTATTTTTTTATCGCTTTTTGTTGGTTGTTGGTGGTCCTTTTTCCTTGCAGTTTCGGTGGCTTTTATAGCCACCACGAAGCTCTTCATGGATCGGGTAATAAGGGTGGAGTTCGATGAGTCACCAAACTATAGTGGTGACTCACCTTAGGGCAACGTGGAGGGGTAGCTGGCTTCTGGAGTCTTCGGCGAGGGTGACATCGGTAGCGACTGGTTGGAACACTTGGCAATGGAGCGGCGGCGGGCTTATCTTCTATCTGAGGTGACGGTGGAGATAGGGTTTAAAAACCCTAGTAAAAACCCTAAATAGGTTTAAAGTCTTGGGCTTCTCGGGTTTGGGTTTGAAACAGGTCTGGATCGGGTCGGGTTTGTAAATGGGCCTCCGAGTCTTGTAACTGGGCCTGTAATAAATAAAATTATTTATTATTATTATTAATAATAATAAAATAATAATTATTATTATTATAATAATTATTATAATAATAAAAATAATAAAAAAGAAAAAGGGGCAAAAACTTAGTGTCTACAGCTATCTAAGCATTATTGGCAATGGAAGACACATATTTGTTTGTTTATGTTGAGAACAATGATGACATCTCAATCGAAAATAATAGAAACTCAAAAGCCCTCGTGCAATTTTTTGTTTGTTGTTTATAAGTTATTCTGCCAACCAACGGGAGATATACTTTCAATATATACGATAATAATCCTTATTTAGGGTTTTGGTCTTGTTGTTCAAATAAAAGGTCCGAGATTAATTCAATGGTGAAATTGATACGAATATAATGTTTATTTGAGAATCAGCTTGATGAACTCGGACCCGATGAAGCAGTAGCTATAATATTTGCTCTCGTGTTTCAACAAAAGAAATCTAAATTAAACGTCAGATATGATTTGAAAAAAATACAGTTTAAATATTAAAACGAAATAAACGTAATACTTTAGGTACTAAACATGTAGTTTATCCAAAAACAAAATACCAGTCAACCAATAATTCCAAAAAATATGGTGGCGACATTAATCCAAAAAGAAAGCGTGGCCATAACTTAGTTTGTTTGTTATTTCCTTTTCCAGAATAAAAATATTGTATTCCATTGTAATTAAATTAATTATAATTGTAATTTTATGGATGTTTGAGTAGACCTCTTAATGGGCTTAAAAAGGGTCCTAAATTGTTAATCATAATTATTAGTGGACTTATTTGTGAATTGAAGTATAAATTTGAATCAGATTTAGATAGAAAATTTCACTCCACAGATCAATTCGATCTGATAAGTATAAAAATTAAATGATTTTAAAATATATCTTATTAAAATATAAATATAAATATTATATTTTTAGTATTTAAATTAAAAAATAATCATTTGGACAAATCAGACCGGGCCAGGCTTGAGTCTAATTTTTGTTGAACCAGGCCTCGGTCTGGCCCGACCATAGACACCTCTAGCTAAAGGTTAAGAACCCAATAATGACGTCAGTCCGTCACATATCTCAGTGAGAAAATAAATATAATTTTCCTTCTTTTTTCATTTTGTCTGTTTAATTTGTCTTAAAAAAATTTCTTGGGTTTTAATTATAGAATAAACTGATTACGTTAAATACAAAACCCTAATCGCCTTCTTGTTAAATCAATCTTTGCAGTCTTGTTCTTTTTTTCAGTCTTTCTTCGTCTCTCGCACGCTTTCTCCGCCGCTCTGCGCCTTCCCGGATGTAAGATTATTTTCAATGCTTTACATCAGTCGCGTTCTATATACTCTACCTATTTACTATTCTCATATCCTTTTTGAAGAAAACCCTAATTCATTTATTCCACAAGCTTTGCTGGTTTGATTTCAGTTAGGGTTTAAGCAGAACTTGAATCAAAGTCTGAGATAAGTTTCAGGAGTTTTCTTTTTTCATGTTGAAAATCTCCCTCTCTGGTTCACATAAGCAGTAGTATATATATTTCATTATTTGTTTGTTTTATTATTAGGTGCTACCGGATTGAACTTTTATATAATGTTGAAGGTTGATAAAATTTGATTAACTTTTAGGTATCTTGCTCGCAGTTTGTTGATTCAATTGTTTAGGTTGTCATCTTAACTCTATTTAACTTTTATTTAATAGCACATTGTTGATTTCACTAATGCAGCTATTCTATAAATGATGAAAAAATTCATGGCTTTTTGTTTCCAGAGGCTAATTAACTTGATGCTCGTTGGGAGTTGAAGACAAATTTCTTGGGCAGAATGGGATTTGATAACGAGTGCATACTGAATATCCAATCTCTGGCCGGAGAATACTTCTGTCCTGTTTGCCGCCTACTTGTCTACCCAAATGAAGCATTACAATCACAATGCACCCATCTATACTGCAAACCATGTTTAACCTATGTTGTCAGCACTACTCGAGCTTGTCCTTATGATGGTTACTTGGTAACAGAAGCTGATTCTAAGGTAAGTCTCCTATACTCTGCTGACTTGTTCTTATTGTATTCTTACAATTATTGTTTCCTTCACCTTGATTTTTCCCGCTACATCAAACTACAGCCACTTGTTGAGTCAAATAAGGCACTTGCTGATACGATTGGGAAGATCACTGTTCATTGTCTCTATCATAGGAGTGGCTGCACGTGGCAAGGTCCGCTTTCTGAATGTACAGCTCATTGTTCTGGGTGTGCATTTGGAAATTCTCCTGTTGTATGTAACCGGTGTGGTGTTCAGATTGTGCATCGTCAAGTTCAAGAACATGCACAAAATTGCCCTGTGAGTGCATTGAATTATTTTGTTGATGTTGGACCATGTTTTATGTAGCATTTGTGGTAAATTTGACACTTTTACATACTTTTGATACAGAGGGTGCAGCCTCAGGCCCAGCAGGTTGTGAGTGGTCAGGAAATTTCAGCCTCGGGCACCACTTCTGATCAGACTCAGGTTGCTTCTCAGGCAGGAACAGCTGCTTCTCAGTCCCAGGCATCTCAAACTACAACATCCAGTACATCTGTACAGGACTTTGGTCAGCAGGCCAATCCAAATCCTCAGTCTCAAGCTGTCTCCCAGTTTGCTGCGGTTACTTCAGAACAATGGTCTCAACAACAACAACAACAACAACAAAGTCAGCAATACTACCAGCAGTACACTGGATATGACTCGTATTATCAGCAATATTACCCATATCAACAGCAGGCATTTCCACAATACCAGCAGCAATCTTTGCAGGTTAATGCAACACATATGGCTGGGCAGAATCCACTCTACTTGCAGACCCAGTCCCAACCTCAGTCACACTTACCTGTTCAGGTTGCTGTAGCTTCTCAACCTCAGAGCCAGGCACAAGCTAATCAACAGCAGCAAACTCACCTTACGATCCCACTGCACTATCAAATTCCAGCTCAAACTTACCCAACATCTCTGGGCCATTCCCAACCTCTGGTTCAACCACTTCCTCAAGCTCAGCCACATCCTCAGGTCCAAACTATTCAGCCTCATCTGCAACATGGGCACATGCCTCAGTATCAGCAGCAGCATTCCCAGATGCAACTCCCACAGCCTCAACCTCCTCCTGCTCCTCAAGTTCAACCTCATTCACAAGCTCAGCCACAGGCACACCAACTCCAGCCCCTTCCCCAGCCTCAGCTCCAGCCACATCCTCAACCAAGCCAGCCCTTGAATCCAAATTTATTGCCACAGACACAACCCACTGCTACCCAGGCAGTGACTGGTCATCAATCTTATTTGCAATCGCAGCCTCACCAGCTGGTAACACTACAAAATCCCTTGCATATGCATGCTCAAGGGGGCCTTCATCCACAGCAGCATCCCGTTGAAATGCAGAATTCCTACCCTCAGCAACCTTCTCAGATGCGGCCACCCCAGTCTCATGCTGCAATTCCAAACCAACAGCAGCCTGGTTCGTTGCCTTTACCCAATCCTATGCTGCACCAAGCACATCATCATTCTGTTCAACATCCACTTTCAGCTCAACCACAAAGAGTTATACAGCCTCCTACGTCACTTATATCTCATCAATATATGCAGCAGCAACCTCTGTCAACCCAACCGCTGGGCTTGGTTCAGCCTCAAATGCATCAACAGGGTCCTTTTGTGCAGCAACAACAGCCCATGCAATCTCAATTTCGGCCCCCAGGCCCCCCTCAGTCCTTTCAGCAGCCTCCTCATGCCTATCAACAACCGCAGCAAAATGTTGCAGAACCGAATGTTGTGCATCCCTATCCAATGCCTAATCCTGCTGGGAGACCTTTGACGCCAAATCATGGACTACAATCACAGCCATATCCTCAGTCTGCACCTGCTATGCTGGTTAAGCCTATGCAGCTTGGTGTCAACCAGCCATCTTATCAGTAGTGTGCTTAGAACCAACAACCAATCTGGGTTAAATTCACAACCCGTGTCAGAGATGCCAGGAGATCATGGTACTTTACATGTGGCTAAGAAAGAAGCTGATTTATCTTCCCAGGGAATTGCTAAAAAAGAATCTAATGAGTTGGATCTGGCATCTAGTCTTGTAGCTGATGTGGTCAACACTAATACTTCAAAACCCAATGCTGATTTGAAATTGATAGATGAAAAACCTGCTGGTGATGTTGGGGATAATAGTGGTGTGTTTCATAATTCTACTAAAGTGACACAAGAATCTGGACACACAGATCGTGTATCGCAGAGAGATACATTGTCTAAGAATATTGTTAAGGGTGAGGCTATCGAGGACCAGAAAGATGTTGACAATGCTGATAGCAAAGTAGAAGAAAATAAAATTAAGGATGGTCCTTTGCTGAAAACTCCAGTGCTGCAGGATGCTAAGCTTGGTGAAGAGCAAAATGGGAAGATGCTGAAGGAAAGAATTCAATCTCAAGATAAAAGTACAGCTAAAGGTTCTGCAGCAATGAATTTTCTGGAATCCCTCGATCTAGTCAGGTGCAGCCTTCTCATTCAGTTCCAGTTGTTGATCAGGGAAGGCAGCAGCCCCTACAGATGCCATATGGGTCTAATAATAATAACCAACAAAAACCTGCTGCTTCTGCAGTGTTACAAGCACCTCTGCCCGGACTGCCTTCACATGCACAAGCACCAGGACTTCCTCCCAATCAAGTTAGGCCCCAGGGCCCAGGGGAGATTTCAGTCCCACCTGAAAATTTTGCTCCTCCCTTTGGCAGAGGACCAAGTAATTATGGTCCTCAAGGGCCTTATAGTCAAGGTCCTGTTTCTGGTGCTCCTAGGTTGCCTAGACAAGGTGAACATTTGAATCCATTCCCTTTGGATCATGCCAAACGTTTTGGTGATCGAGGACAATTTGATGAAGATCTGAAACAATTTCTAGGCCTTCGCATTTGGATTCTGGGCCTGTTCCTAAATATGGGAGCTACTTTTCCTCATCCAGATCTCTTGATAGAGGTCCTCATGGCTTTGCTAAGGATATGGGACCATGGGCTCATGAGAAGGACCCTCGTGGTTTGAATTTTGATCCTATGATTGACTCTGGTCCTTCTCGATTCTTGCCACCATATCATCTTGATGATGCAGGAGAAAGACCGGTTGGTCTTCCTGAAGATTCTCTAGGCAGACCAGGTTTTCTTGGAACAGTTCCAGGCTATGGTCGGCATCGTATGGATGGTTTTGTCTCTAGAAGTCCAGGCAGAGACTATTCAGGCATATCCTCACACAGATTTGGAGGACGTCCTAGTGATGAGATAGATGGCAGGGACCGTGGATTCGATGATAGATTTTCAGGTTTTCCTGGGCATATACATAGGTGGGTTTGAGAGTTCTGATCACATGCCAGAGCATTTTGGTCCAGATATTCGACCTCCACACTTCATAAGGGGTGAAAATTTTGGTCATAACATGCCTGGTCAGTTGCGGATGGAAGGACCTATTGGCTTTGGTGAGATTTCTAGCCATGAACATATGGGAGAATTTGATGGGTCTGGGCACTTCCGTCAACCACGACTTGGTGAACCTGGATTTAGAAGCAGCTATTCCCTTAGAGAATTTCCTAATGATGGTGGAATCTATACAGTTAAGTGTTGATTTTTTGTCAATTATGATATGAAAAAAATACTGATCATTCATAACTTTTCTGGAAAACATAATTTATACCTGGAAAATATATATCATTGAGTTCCATATATGTTTCTGCTTTTGATCTATTTTTGACTCGGTATTTTCAGGGTGATATGGATTCATTTGAAAATTTGAGAAAGAGAAAACCGGCAAGCATGGGCTGGTGCCGTATTTGTAAAGTGGACTGTGAAACAGTTGAAGGCTTGGACATGCACTCACAAACAAGGGAGCACCAGAAAATGGCTATGGATATGGTTGTGATCATCAAACAAAATGCAAAGAAACTGAAACAGTAAGTTTTATATTTCCTTATTGCGCATGGTGGTATCTAAACCTTGATTTGCTTGTGTAAAATATCTTTTAATTTTTTATGTTGCTTTGTTTTGTAGAACCTCCAGTGATCACTCACTACGCAATGATTCAAACAAATCAAGGAATACAAAATTTGAAAGCCGTTCAAATAAGATTAACTCTTGATATATGCCCATAGATTGTGGTTGTGCACTTGCTAGCTTGGAATTGAGTTTGTCGGTTTGGTATTTGGCACTTAGTGATGTTGGTCACTCACCCTTGCCTCTTTTCTACTTCTGGGTGGTTTATGCTGGTCCTGTCATTTCAGGTTGCTTACATGTTAATGGAGATGGTTTTGGAACTGAAGTTCAGTGGCAGTTAAGTTTTTTGTTTTTTCCTTTTTAACATGATATTCTGTTTCTTTTGAACTTTCGTATTTGTGGCTACTTAATCATTATCTGGTTAAAAATTGAAATATCAGGATATTTTGATGTAGTGCTTATTTTGCTTGTTGAGATGGTATATTTTAGTATATATGTATCTCTATTACCTTTCCTTATCCAGATGTTTATTAGACTGGATCACAAAGATCCAATATAAGCTTTTGCATGCATGCTTCAATCTACTGTTGGCTCTAGCTTTCCTTTTTTAGTGTCTTTATATATATATGTTTATTTTAGGATCAGAAGCCTTTTGAAACATTGAGTGGCATTTAACTGAATAAATGAATTCCTTTCTCAATCATGATTGAATTGATTATGCAACTTTTGCCACTTTCTTTCTATGAAAATGTTGCTACCCAACCAACTTTTTATTGCCAGATACTTTTGCTCTACTGCCTCTTGAATATTGAAGTGAAGAAAATATAAGTTACACTGGAATGTCATTAGAAATTATTATGAAACAGCCAGATGATAAAACATTTGTACATGTGGTGGTGAAGTATATATGGAAATTTGTTCTTAAATTGATGTAAACTAGTAGTCTAATTGTGGCTTCATACGCTTTCTATAATTAATATCTAAGTTGTCTGCTTGTTAATGTAGCATTTGAAATTTAGTTCATCTGAAAATATTCTTCTTTTTATATTCCGTAATTCAAGTACACTTCACAAGTGCTGTGATCTATCTAAATATTAGTGCTCAATATTAGATTTAATCAAACAGTTTTGACTTGGCATGAATTGCAACAAAATTATATTTGGTGTGGGGGCGTATGCTTAAGTTTAAATATGTTATATTTAGAACTGGCTACAGTGAAACTATAAAACTTTGGGTAAAGTACACTAGAAGTCACTGAACTATATAAAAATGATCTTTTTGGTCAGCAACCTTCCAAATGTTAGAAATGGGCATTAAACTTCCCAAACAGTTACAAAATGGTCATTAAATTTTATCAAACTGTATGGTCTTTAAACATAGTGCTACTACAAAAGGGTCCTTAAACTTATCGACATTTATTGCTATTTTAATATTGCTAGGGACCATTTTGTAATTGTTTAGAAAATTTAATGACTATATTGTAACATTTGAAGGTTGTTGACCAAAAAGATCATTTTTATGTAGTCAGTGACCTCTAGTGTACTTTACCCAAAACATTTTTACTGCCAAAAGTCATTAATGGTGCAACTTGTTAAGGTTTATGGGTGTCGCTAGTTCCTTGCCTAATTTGTAGCTAGGATTGCTTAATGCTCTGTATTATGTTATTAGGATTTTTTATTTATTTACTTTTGTTTGCAATAGATTGCTAATCCTATGAGCCCAAAGCATTTAATCTCTGTCATCTAGTCGAGTCTAGGATATGAATTTAATTTGAGGGTCTATGTGTAGCTTTACCTGTGCAAATTATCATTAAAATTCAATGAACATCAAAATGAGGCCTGCTTGATCACTCAATTGTAATCCTGAAGCAGAAAAAAATATAACTATAAGCAGAAGATTGTTGGTTTTTGTACTCTGTTGCTTTTATATGAACTTTTGAAGGCTTAGGCCATGAGAGATAGGTCTTCCTTTTTTTTGATAGGAATGGCAGGCCTCGATAAAAACCCCTTCATGATTAATGGATCACAAAGTGCTCCTTAATCAGCGGAAGGAGGAAAGAGTGCCTTATAATTCATTAAAACCCAGAAATTACATAATACTTAGGGAACAAAGCATATAAGTTCCCTATACAAACCGATCGAAAGCCTAAATTATAACAGAAACAAAACAAAGAAGCTAGCCAATACCAGCCTTTGCTAAGGCGTCAGCCTCAACATTAGCTGACCTAGCAACCCATCTAATAATACCCTCCAAACCTCTTAACTTAGTAACAATTTCCTTCACAAGGTCTACGTATACATTGGGACATCGATCATAGTTCTTGACCCAGTCCACAGCAAGTTTACTGTCGGATTCAACAATTAAAGGACCCTTATCCATTGCTGGAATGAATCAAAGAAAGTTAAGCCCTTCTTAATTGCCATAAGCTCTAACAAAATAGGAGGACCTGGACCAGAAGCCTCTTGGAAGGAACCCACCACCAAGCCATCCTCAACTCTTAGAGAATAACCATTATTGGCTTAAAGAATAAGCTTCTGGTTAAGAGTGAAATTATCTCCATTCTGTGGTGGTTTGTTTCCAATTCCTTAGTTCGTTTTTTTATAGAAGTAGGAGGCATCATTAAAAACCTCCATCGTAGTAATCCGATTCCCCAAGGAAAGAATCGACTAGCGGAAGGAGGAAAAGAGTACCTCAATATATTATTGAATAAAACATATTACATAAGACTTAAACAAACAGCATAACCACTGTTCCCCACAAATACATAAAACAGAAAATATAATAAATCTTACAATCACCCAATCCCTTCCTTTGCTAATTTATCTGCCTCACAATTACAACCCCTAGGTATCAATCTAAGAATACATCCCTTATCTGACCCAATTCCTTAGTTTCGAGATACTATAATTACTATTATAGGTTCAGTATCTTGCCTTAAAGAATTTATGTTTCTTCTAGTCTAAATTCAAGAAATTTTTTATCCTAGTTATTGCCATTTTGGTCCGTTTTTTCATCTGTTTAGGAGAAATATATTTCCCTTCAGTTATCATTTAATAATTTTTGGGCCAATGCTTAATACCATCACAATTCTTTCAAACTTGATAGAATTGATTTTTATACTGGTGGAATTTCTTTTTTCTATAATAGATTTTTTCAATTCAACATCTTTTTTCGGTGAAGCAGACAACATAATGGCTGAAAGGGTCAGTGGGAAGGTTTTGACACTCATCTTTTTAGGATGTGGTAAAAATTGTGTTCTGTTTTGTGGTAAACTTTTTCTTTGTAATATTTTCATTTGTTTCTTCTTTGAAATTCATTTACTGCAAGGTATTATATTTGTTGCCTTATTTACACTGATTTTTGTTTTATTTCATTCTGTTAAACTAATCTTTTAATTTTTTTAAAGTCAAATGCATTTCATGGAAACTTGTGGTAGTCTGAGATTTTAAAACTGAGAGGTTGGTAAATATGTTAGTTTGATGGTAAGTTATTCCTTAAAATGTATTATAGGAATTCTTATGAATTCTTAAGATTTAGCTAGGTTGTTGACTACCTCTCTCTTTTAGTTTAGGAGTGTCTCATCCTTTTGTGAAAGTGATAAAGCTTAGGTTGAGACTCCGATTAGAGTTGCATGTTAGTACGTGCTTGCTTAGGCCATGGGATGTCCTGGGGCTTAGTTTATGTTAGGATGGACAAGAAAATGCCTTCTATCCCTCATGTCAAATATGATTCGTTTCGGAATGTTATGTTAGGAATAGTAAATAATAAACAAGCATGGTTATATTAGGCCTCATCTCCACTCTTGCTTCTACAGGTATAGAATCTAGTAACTGCAGGTCTAACAGGTATATTTCACTAGGATCCATCTTTACCTACTTATGATGTTGAATTTGGGGGGGGGGGGGTAAGTGTTAGTCTTGTTGTTGTAACCTCTCTTTGGTGTTTCAATATAGGATCTGACAAGTTAAGACTTGAATTTTCGAATACCGGCGGTGCATTTCCTTTTTGTCCTTGCAGTTTGTGTTTGGTTTCCGTCTGATTTGAGTTGAGCCGAATGAACATTAGATATAATATTGTGGAGGCATTAATCTAATATTCTAAATGACTATGTTCAGTTAGTCATACTCGAGAAATTCCAATTCCAAGTAATTAGTTGAGTGGAATTGGGGTTTTGATATGATTATGTTCCTATAATTCTCTCTGACTTCCATTAATTTATGATCTTGAATTCTTCAAGGTTCTAAGTCTTTGATTTCACTATAAAATGAGACATGATAAAGTGGATAGTAATTTACTACAAACATGAATAACTATGTAGCAGAATTTGACTTGGCGTCCAAAAGTAGAAGAAGATGAACTAATGTTGATTTTATTTCCAAAGGAATTACTTTATTGGCTTTCAACTTCCAAATTTCTATACTTCTTTGTTTTGAAACTCTCATAATGCTCAAGTTAGTCATGGTGTAGGATGTCTGTTTCCTGTACAGTGCTTTCCGATTCTGTATAATAAATGTAAACGATTCTCATAAATTCATGATTTTCAATTCTGTATCTGCTATGCTCTATAAAATGAACATGATAAATTATTAAGTGCAAGTAATTAACAACAAACATACATTCCCCGAAGCTAACTTGGTACTGGATTGCCTAGTTAACCTTGATAAAACGTCGCACGTGGCCTAGTCTTTAGTTTCTTAGTTCCTTTAGGCTTATGCCTAAATGTCACCCCAAAAAAAAGCACATAAACCTGACGCATACAAATAACTATCAAGTCATTGAAGATGACCAATTTTAATAATATCAAGTAATGAACGATAAATTATTTTGTGAGATAAAAATAATTTCAATTCTGTAAGGTGTAAAGTCCTTAATCGACTGTATCTGCTCTGCCCTATAAAATGAGACAATGATAAAGTATTGATAATTAGTGATAAACGTAAATCTGAGACACCCGAGATGAAGATGACCCAGGTTGATTTGTTTCCCAAGGAATTACTTGAGGGTGCACAACAATGGTGCAATGTACAACAGGTTGCGGCTTAGTTGTACGAAGATTATTTTTCATGGTTACAGATGCTTTTAGGGTCTACAATTTGACTTGGTTGGAGTTTGAGATGGAAAATTCAAAACGTCGGTTTGATTTGATGATTCTAGTTGCTTGCAAGTTGTGGAAACAGTGAGCATGAAGTTTTATACAAATAACTGTAGCCTGATTGAAAATTGAAACCTATTTTGTTAAGGCTCTAGATTATACTATAAGAGTGGTGTGTGGCTGCATTTTGCAAGAATAGATAGCATCATAGTTGCCGTAGCCTCGCAAACACCGGCAGCGGAACCTTGAGAAGGATAAAAAATCTGTAGCGGTAAAAGTACATGATAGGTTTAACATTCCATTCAATAGTAAAATCTCTGTTAGAATCATTTGTACCAAGCTCGAAA